TATTGGAAGGTGGCTAGTCATAGTCTTTAAATATATGATTTGTCTAATTAAAATTTAACAATTACGAGTTACACTTTCTCATTTTTCAAAACAAATGCAGAAGTTACGTAACTTTTAGGATAAATATCACTTTTAGTCCGTATCAAAAATTATTTATATTCGATAGCCGAAAAATATATAAATTTTGCATATAACATACAAAATATATTTATATACAAAAAAATATAAAAAATACATATTTTTCGACTATTATTTTAATATTATAAAAGCACGAATACGATGTTAGTTGACCAAAATAGCCCTAAAATACATAAAATATTAGGTTATTTTGGTAAAAACAGGATAGAAATAGAGTTCTAATTATAAGTACTGCTTCTTGATTTTGGTATCTAAAGATGTGCTACTAATCATCTAATTAGAAAAGCACATCCTAATTTTACGAAACTTATATATTCTCAAATATTCATTATATCTTTCACCCAAGTTGATTTGTATTTTCATTAAAAATTAGAACTTAAGGTCGATACAAATTTATCATGTTGTCCAGCGTTATTGTCAGCTCCTACACTATTAATGAGTTTTGTGAAGATTTAGTTTTGGTTATGCATAAGTTATCATGTATCTCCTTTGCTTTATTTTTTCTTTTTGAATGGACCAGATTATGGATTTTAAGGAGAAAGTCTAGAACTATTAGGTGATTTTTTTTAAATCTGGTTTTATATTTCATTCTTCTAAAGCTCGAGTGATTTTGACTTTGGCACGGGCGATGTTGTGGTGGTTAATGAGTTTTTTGAAAAAGAAACTGGGTCATTTTTTTTAATATGATAGCTTTCCGTTAGGTCGGGGGTATTTTTAAAAGGTTTGGTTAATGGTAAGGGTAAAGGTGACCAATAGTATAACGGAGGGAAGATGTGAGTAATATACAAAAGTAGAGAGGTATATTTGGCCTTTTTTCCTACTATATATTATCATCATTGACATAGGTCCTCACTCCTTATGTTTGTGATGAAAATTGTGGTCTAGCTGACATTATTTTTTTCCATTATGCAGTTAGGCTTTACCCGACGAAAATTTCAATCTGCCATGTTCCTCTTAAATTTACCTTTATCTTATATCTTTTTTTATTTAGCATAGATTTAAATCTAATAAGTAACTTTAGATTGGTTAAATTGCGAAAATAATAGATTTGAATCAAATTTCAATATGAATTGCTTTTAGAGATGTCATCGATTACTACTAAAAATCTAACATTTTGAATGTAATAGTGATAATAAAAAATATCTATTATGAATTAGCTACAAATATGATGTCTTTAATATCATCATAAAATATAAGTTGCATGAAAATTGCTTAGTTCACTATTAATCTAAGTATAATTATATTGTACACATTTAATTTTATTCTCTTACTTTACATATTTCTCTTTTTCGTTGGGTGCTACGTGTGAAACACGTACATAAAAACTAATTATTTTAAAAGCGGCTATACATTGTCATTTTCTTTAACTTCTAATGACATCTTTCCAAAGAGATACCTCCTACCGGCCAAGCCCAGGAACAGGTAATGATCCACAGGCCAACTAGGCTCGGCCCAACAAACTGCTTATCACTGAGATTGAACTCAAAAGGTTGCTAGCTCAGACCATGCAGCATTCATCATGATTTATCATGGGCTTTTGAGTCCTTTATCTAGAAAGAAGAATTAATTTAAAATGGGCAGAGAATATATATGTGTGTGTATCATGTATAATTGTCACGACCCCAATTTTTCTCCGTAGGATATCGTGATAGCACCTAGTATTTAAGACTTGGTAAGCCTAACATTTGCTGATCATTAATGGAATTTAACTAACTTAACTGCAATACTTTAAATACTATCTGTAGCAACATAGCTGGACCAATAACAGTTACCTAACCCCAAAATAGGTATTATAAGTCATAAGCCTTTTTAAAAGTAACTATATATAATGAGTACATCACTGTTCCGGAGTAATAGGAAACAATGGAAATAAATACAACAGAAGGTGACTTCGGGGCCTGCAAACATCCACCAGGTGTACCTTGAAGTCTCCGGTCGCACAAGCATAAGTCTCAAACTAAATCGGTCCGAAGTACCTGGTTCTGGACAAAAATGTGCAAAAGCGTAGCATGAGTACACTACAGTGGTACCCAGTAAGTATCAAACCTAACCTCGGTAGAGTAGTGACGAATCTAAGTCAAGACACCTACCCGACATATAAACCTGTACAGGATATGACATGAAGCTAACGAGGAAAGAATATCAATGTAAGGTCAATAGCAGAAAGAATTCAAATTATAATCAACAGTGAAGATAAGGGAACACGAATGGAAACGAGAAATAACCAAGTAATTAAGCAACAATATAGTCGAGGTATGAATGAAGTATGAATGTGTTCAAGTAGGAAAAATGATGACAACTCAACCAATCAAATTATTCCTCATATACAAATTTCAACAATCCCACTTCTCGTAATCTCAGATCATAAATCACATCTTCCAAACATTACATTCATGGCACCTTGTGCCCACATTTTTCATATTACTTTTCGCACGGTACAATTCACGTGCTACCAGGTATATAGTATCCGTGACAAATGCTAATAAATAATATTATAGGGATCTATTCATATAAAATAAAGTAAAATTATAATTTCTGAACCAAACAGGAAATCAATGAGAAAATGAGTTTACTTTGAAAAACATTTGGGTGAAGAGAACAACATTTTCAAATAAAACTAAGGCGTGATAAGATACTGATTTGAATATAGAATTTAATAAATTAAAATATAATAACAATTCCTTTTAAAGTAAAGTAGAAACATCAGATAGGGTAAGGAGATTAAGTTGAGAAATCGATTAAGGAAAATATGACGACTATTAAAAATAGTAAGGTACCGAATGAAACGACGAGTTATAACTTAAGAGTCACATAAGATAAGCATGTTATTAATTCTTTTATTTAAAATCATTGTGTTACTAACAACTCGACAGGGTATGAGATAAGGACTCATCGTAGTAAATTCATTTTGAAAATCAATTTACCAAAGTAATAGTAATAGGAAAAGAAAACAGGAAATGATGGCAAAGAAGTAAACTAACGAAAACAACTCAATCCTCGAAAACCAGTAAAAACAAGAAATACCAATCCTCAAAGTCTCGTACGAAAGAACCGAAAGCAACACAATACAACAAGGAATACAAAACACATAAAATGTTGCGGCACGCAACCCGGTCCCTCCGTACAACACGATCATCCCTTATTCCACCATGTAAATATCAATAGTAATAAGTAAATATATATATGTTGCGGCGCGTAACCCGATCCCACCATATAATTAGAGTCAATATCATAATTCTCCTTTATTTCACCATATAAATCTATCTTTATTTCACATATTGCAGCGCACAACTCGATCCTAGCGAATCAATATAAATCCTCCCTTATTCCACATGTTGCAGTGTGCAACTCGATCCATAAATAAATCAATAACATCAACAATCCAATACTCAATTTAAAAGAATTTCTACAATCATAAGATACGAGTACACGGTAATGAAGGAATGACGTAAAAATCAAGGAACGCAACAAATAAGAGGGCACAAGACAATAAGGAAGGCATCAACTTCAACTAAGCATATAAGTGCAAAATACCAAGTAAGAGGAAGAACAAGTGCTAACAACGTCAAGTAGAGCATGTAAGAGTAGATTAACAATGAAAGATATCACATGTCATGACACTTCAATTAAAGGCATGGAAAATGTTTAGATACTCGAAATCGGTCAAATGCCACATATAAGCCGTGTACCTACTCGTCACCTCGCGTACACGATTTTAACACAACACGAATAACACAATCATCTCAAATCCTAAGGGGTGGTTTCCCCCACACAAAGTTAAGCAAGATACTTACCTCAATTCGGCCAAATCAAAACTCAAATTAGCTTTTCCTTTACAATTTTACCTCCGCTCGGCTCAATTTAGCCAAAGACGACTTAAGTTCGTTAAACAATGCAAGAGAAAATAATTTCAATTAACAAAGCTATGATATTTATACAATTTCCAAAAAGTCAAACCGGGCCCGCCCGGTCAAAACCTAGGTCGAGGGATAGATTTCGACTACCCATAACCCTACGAGTTCAAATATGTGATTTGATTTCAAGTCGGAGTATTTTTCACTTTGATTCTCACTATTTTGATGTTAAAACTCAAATATAATCATGAAATATACATAGAAACTGAACAAGAGCACTTACCCAACGATTGTAAATGAAATTTCTTCCTCAAAATCGCTCACTCTCGGACCTAGGGTTCAAAAATATCAAAAAATGAAGCAAAAACCCGAATTACACAGCTGAAAACAAGCTGCAGATATCGCATTTGCGATCTAGGGTTAGCAATTGCGAACCCTCACAAAAACAAAGAAGCCTTCGCAATTGCGAATTAGAACATGGCTGGAAAATGTTGCAATTGCGATTGTGAATACTTAATTTTTGCACTATTTTAACACATATTAAAGTCATTAGTGTTTTGTTATTTTAATTATTTTTCTTAATTTTTGTGTCTTTGATTGCATATTTCCTATCATAAATACCAAAAAATAGTTCTTTCTTCATTTGTGCATTTTAGGAATTAACTAACTATTCAATTGGTGAATTAATCTAGTTAATTGATCATTTGAATAAGTTAATTAATTAATTAATTTATTTATGTAAATTTAGTTTAATAAGTATGATTAATGGAAATAGGCCAACATTGAAATGATTTAAGTGGCCGAAAGTGCAATGGTCAATCCATAAAGGGGCTGCCAGGAAAAGATAACGAAACAGCGTAGTTTCGGACCTAAACTACGTCGTTTTGATTAGTAAAGGTGGGATCAAATCTCATCCCTCCATTTTTATTGATCCAATGGCCCTGATTCAATTCCTTATTTTGAATATAAGACCAAAAATCAGATTTTTTGCCCTCATTTACACCGAACCCAAACCCTAAACTCCTCTCCTCACTCTCTCGCTTCCTCTCTGATGCTGCAAGCCGTCCACGGCGGCGGCGCCGCCGGAATTCGCCACCGGCGGCGGCTAACCTCCAAATGACCCCAAATATGTAATCTCCAATACCTCCTCTTTCCATATCTTCAAACCAAATCTTTCAAAACCCCCTCAAACTCCACGAATAGTAGATCTAAGAAATCACACCCGCTACCCTTTTCTTAAAATCATGAAGATTGAGCCACCCTTTCCACCTAATTTTCACATACATAGATAGAGCTCAGCGGGGACTATCTTTTCATATTGATCTTGACCCAAAACTCCGGCGGCCGGAATTTCGACGCACCACTGCCACTGCCGCTGCCGCACCGCTACTGACGCATCACTTCTCCTCTATTTTAGCCTAATTCTGACCCAAGAACACTCATTTCCTTTTGGCATGACACAAAGATAATTGAATTTGGTGTCTACGGAAATGAAATAAGTGTTCCATGGTCGGCCAACCACTTCTTGGCATCTCCGACGTCTTCTCGTGGCTCGAACAACTTCAAGCACACTCGTTAGGTATAATCGTCATCTCTTTAATTAATTTCTGATTTTTTTAGTAGATTAGTTTCTGATTTTTGATTTTTTTTATTTTGGTTGTTTCTTGTTAATTACAGTTTCAAGTTAGGTTTATTTAATTAGTTATCTCTATTTAGTTTAGTTGTTTGTTAGATTGATATTGATTAAACATGATCTTTAGTGAACCAAAATCTGTCCCAAAAAGCTCTTTCCTCACTTCATGGACACACAATCTACACACACTAAGGAGACATCTTTCACTCTAAGTAAACACAACAAAGAGAGCATAAAGCTGAGAGCAAAAAGAAAAAGAATTCTTCTGAGCAAAAACATCACTTTTTAATAGTCTTCCTCGGGCGAAAAAGAAAACTTTTGCTTCGGTTTCTTTCTTGCCGGTTTCTGTTTTGGTTTTACTGGTTCGTTTGCTGATGTTGCTGTTGGTTTTGAGCTGTGTTTGATAGCTGCGAGTTTGGATAAAGTTCATCACTTTTGTTTGCTTTCGAATCCGCGGCCTAGGTATTCTTCTTAACTTTGTAATGTAGTTTTTTTTCCCGATCTCTTTGAATGAAGCATGAAGTCCAAAGCTTTAACTTAATTTCATTTGTTGGTTTTGGTTTATTTTTATGAATGATAACTTTACGCGTTCATGTTCGGATATTAGCTGTGGCATAAGTGCTTTTGGTTTTCAATTTTTCAATGAGAGTTTTGATTGTTGAAAGTTCTTTAACATATTCACGAGAATTGCAATGAAATAGTTTCAGTCACAATCATAATAGTTTTGTTTGAGTTTCTTCTCCTTAGGTTTAAAGATGCTATCTTGATCCATCTTTGTGATGGTTCATTGTATGAATTTAATGTTCATTAAAAGTTGAGTATGTGATNTCGGGGAAACAGTGCTTCCTACATTAAGTGTCGGATGAGCTTGATCCATTATTTATATTTTTTCTTTTGTAATTAGTGTGGAAGCAATAAACTAATAAAGCAGGCCCATTTTTATAATGATTCAGCTGTCCCATTTTTCATTAATGACAAAGCAACCCATTCTCTAAATTGATAGAAGCTGGCCCAACCTTTAAATACCATGGCTGTCTCGTATCAATCTGACATGCCCTCTTCCATAATAAGATCCAAAAATCAATTTTCTTAATTAAATAACTCAATCGCTTCTAATGTAATTAGTTTAACTGCTAGGCAACTAATAGGCGCGTTTTGACTTTTTCTTCACGGACTCACTTGCGTAGCGTGATGTTATTAAATAAATTAACTAAATAATCTAATACCATATTCATTAGTTTTAGTTAATTTTTAATTTATTTAATCCCCATAATCGCGGATTCGCTTGCGTAGCGAGATACTAACTTTTTAATAATTTTCAAAAAATCAATTTTTCTCAAAACACAAATACAGTATTTTTTCTGAAAGTAATAGCGCGCTAATAATCATTTGTCATGACTGCGGATTCGCTTGCGTAAAGCTGTTATGAAAAAATTAATAAAATTCATCTCGGTCACACATTCGCTTGCGTAGTGCGGTTAGAAAAATTTAATATTATTCAAATCATTATTTAACAATTTTAATAAATAAAAATGGATATAGGCAAAGCATGAAAATCAATAAATCACAGTTCATCCAAAATTAATTCAAGCCAAATTTAAGTCAATAAAGCGACCGTGCTAGAACCACGGGGCACGAGGAATGCCTTACACCTTCTCCCCGATCAACAAAATTTCTTATCCGGACTTTATTTTTGCAGACCAATAATAAAAGAGTCAAACCTTCCTTTGACTAGGAATTCAAATAAAAGGTGACTTGGAACACCCAAAAATCAATTCCAAGTGGCGATTTTGAATAACAAAAATAATTCCTATTTCAAAATTGTCACTTTAATTGAAAAAACTCTTTAATTAACAATCCATAACATATATATATCTTTTTGGGGTTGAAAAAGGGTGTGACAACGATAAAATATTCGCAATTGTGACATGGTACAGGGCAGAAGTCGCAAATGCCATCACATGTTCGCATTTGTGAGCCCTGGGATACTACACTAGAAACCAGTAGTGTTCCCGACATTCAAATGGGCATAACTCTTTCATACGATGTTTGAATTCGACGATTCTTTTTGATATGGCTTTGTAATTACAATACAGATCTAACACTTCAATAAAAACTGAATTTGGAGCTCATTTTCTTAATGTGGTACTATTAATGCTTGAAGAAACGACGTCGAAATATAAAAAACAAGCGCAACACAACCTAAACCTATCCGAAACTCACCCAAGCCCCCTCATGACCCCGTGCGAACATACCAATATGTCCCAAAATATAATATGGACCTGATCGAGGCCTTAAATCATATCAAACAACGTCGAACTACGAATCGCACCTCGAATCGAACTTATAAATTTCCAAATCTTCCAACTTCCAAACTCGTGCCGAAACATATCAAATCAATCTAGAATGGCCACAAATTTTACATGCAAGCCTCAAAATGACATAACAAAGCTAATCCAACTCCCGGAATCGAAATCCGAGCCCAATATCAACTGAGTCAACTCCTGGTCAAACCTCTCAACCTTCCAAAACTTCTACTTTTCAATTTTCGCCAAAATGCTTCAAATTAGCCTACGGACCTCCAAATCCAAATCCGGACGCATGCCTAAGTCCAAAATCACCATACGAAGTTATTGTAATCATCAAAATGCCATTTCGGAGTCGTCTACACAAAAGTCAAATTCTGGTAAACTCTTATCGCTTAAGCTTCTAAAACAAGAATTCTTCTTCCAAATAGATCCTGAATCATCCGAAAATCGAACTCGACCACACACGCAAGTCATGACACATAATACGAATCTGCTCGAGATGTTAAGCCACCGAAAGGGATGCTAATTCTCAAAACGACCAGTCAGTTCGTTACATTCTCCCCTTCTTAAACAAACGTTCGTCCTCGAACGTGCCAGGAGTCATTCCAAAGCTATCAAATCACTACATAAGCTCACCATACATACACCCGGGGGTGATTCCATGTCACCCCAATTCCTGTAGGCCTGACAACGCAACTTACTGAAGATCTCACTTTATCCCTAGTCCATAACCTTAGGACAGAACCCATCCCTCAACATGTGAAACTCATCACATGACCCAAATTTAGCATCAATACACTGTATAAACCTGAACAGGCTGAATCGAGCCACAATCCCAACCCAAGGTACAATCACATGATGTTCCACACAACTCAAATGTCCGTAGTAATAGCTTCCGACCACCACAGTTGCCCAATAACAACCTGGGTACCGAGAATACACTTCAAGTCGAATAAAACCTTGTTCCGAACCTCCGCAATGTTGTCCATGATAAAAGAAACTTGAAAAATCTCATAACCACCCATGAAATCAAAAATCCATGTATCCTCTCGTCCGTCAAGGGCCAATGCCCAATTCTAAGCAGAAATAGCATCGTCCCTCCATACACTCCTCATTTCGACACAATAGTACAACTCTTAGGTCTAAAAACCTCATCTCAGCCAATACAAGCAGCCCAATTGACAACTCATCACAGAACCACACGAATTCTCACATAACATGGTTCGAACACCAAGCAAGCAATAACTCATACATGCAACAAAATTGAAGGAAAGCAAGGTATGGGGATTATCTAACAAGTGCAACAAATATAACAACAAAGTACAGTTTCATCAACTTATTCCACATAGGGGAAATGGTAACACAAAATAACACAAGGAAGGGTATTCCACATTACATCTGTTGCGGCGTGCAACCCGATCCCAAATATATCAAGCCACATAGAGATACCCATCGATCCAAAGTGCTCGGGTTCACTGATTACATGAATGCCGATATCAAGCACGATAGGGTGCTCAAATATAACTGTGGAAAAATGAGTAGAGATAATACAACATGGAGGAAAAAGAGCACAACTAAGGTGCAATGAGCAAATCAACATCATGAGGGCTATCTTGCCCATATCGCCATAAGGCATGAATGGAATTACAACATACGTGGCAAATAATCGTACAACCTCACAGCCCATCATAGAATAAGAGAGGAGCACATAATATAAACTGGGGCACAAATAATATCCATTCTTCCCGGTAACATAATCGTGATATCACCTTCACAAGAGTACCCAAACCTGATCCGATATAAAATACACATTCTCATTGGGCTTTCAAATAGCCCCCAAACCAATTCCGATCATTCCCAAGCAGGTAAATTACCTTCCAACAGTCTATAGCAATCTATCCATAATATACGCCATTAGTTATCCCATTATCAACATTTCTTTACAATCCGCAATCAAGGAATAGTCTGCCTACGAGGACATCCAGTCCTGAAACCTCATGAATACCAGAACTTCCATACCCGATCTCAACTACACTACTCAAATGGCTGATACATCACTCACACTCTATCATCTTACGAAAACACCCACATAGATCTTCCATACCGAGTAGCAAAATATGAACCTTAAAAGCCTAAAAACTCAACAATCACCGTACCACTACCCAAGCATCCGCAACCCAAATCACATGGTGATTTTCCTCAAATGCACGCTCTTCACATGCGATATCCAATAATGCCAACATTTTATTAACTTCTGATATCCATCCAGGAAAAACCATAATGCACAACATATTCCTTATGTCCGCAGCGGATAACCAACTCAAGGCGTGGTCGACACCATCGATAACTCTCTGAAACCCGTCCATACATAACTAAGCCATCAAGACCTAATCTTCCCAACTCAACCGAGTCACGCAAATTGTCTCACCCAAGAGTACTTCCACAAACACCGGTAGATAATTAACACCCCAAAAAGACCAATTACCCCTATTGCCATGCTGGTCCAACACCACCGAACCGATCCACTTCTTCGGATCCTCTCCGACTTTCCTTCAGGGTTGTTCCTCCCTGTCAGTACACAGTGATCTCAAAACCAAAGCTCAATGCAGAATACCCTAGCACAAACCACGTAGTGCAGAAGCCCACAAACCACTGTGTTTTTTCTGAGGCACCCCATAATGCCGCAACCGAAATGCCCATGCTGAATAGACCTACTGTGAATCTGAAGTCTCTTCTCTGACCCTTCTAACACTAAAATGTAGATTCATTAATGACATAGAAATACCACTATTCCCAACATCATCCCATGCAAATCTCGAATTTAATCATATACAAATTTCAGGGAAACTTTCAATACCACATATATACACATCTCAGGCCAAAACTGATATAATACCTGACCCTGCAATCTGATCGCCGATAGTAGACTCCACACTTGGCACGAAGCTATAGGAAACACCATCCGATGATCCACAAAAACTAACCTTCACAGCTCGTACAACACCAATCATAAGATACCCCAAGTCATCTACTAAGCGCATGTCCATCCTCATGACAGTCAAACTCGCTTCCTCCAGTGCCTTGAATGATAATATGTATCTTCCATTGAGTAGAAATTCCATACGAACCACATAGTCTCTAATACCACCAACTATCCTCAAATCAACATCCACCTCATGACCTTACCACGGTCACGACGACTAGTCAACCAATTAAACCTTCCCAAGCTCGTACTTATCAACCTGATGTCAGAACCCACTGCACCCCCACGTGAACAACTGAATAGTCTCTCAATACCTCTGTATCCTCAGTCTAGACGACATGTTGAGATAATGTTTGAGCATCCCTGGCTCCCTCGTAGCCCATCCACAGTATCACAAACCGTTGGTGCATAGCTGATACTG